AATGAGCGTTTATTTTCATCGATGTTTGTGTTGCCGGTGTGTGGTACATCACTACAGCTATGCATCTTTTTAATAATGAAAGGCTTTGGCAAACAGAGTGCGAATGACTGGGGGTTGCTTTTTTATTTATTTTTATTTGACACCGCGAAATTGTGCCGCAATACATTTATAATGCATTGAATTTTAATGCAACAGATTTTTTGTAATTATAATTGCACGTAGCAAGTGTTTGCTATTTAATATCTGTTAGATTTTTAAAAAGGTATGTCAAGTATTCAGTTAACTAATAATTAGTATGATGATATCTACTTTAATCTAAACATAGTTCTAGATTATTTAATATTTGTATTCAATGAAAAAGATTCAGAAAACCGATGCATCATAAAGAGCGCAGTTCTCAGACAAAGGTTTTTGTTTTTGATACGATTTCAAACAGTTTATTGACGTGCTAAAATAAGAGCGCATCAGTTTGTGAGCGAGCTTTGATCGGCTCACACTTTGCCGATCATAAAATTATGAATCAACGTATACTTATAAACTGTAGTAATTATTATTCACCGGAACTAAGGTTGAGAATAAGTCTTCTTCAATATTAATATTAAGATTTTATTGATACTTTCTTAGGCTTACGTAGGCTCCCAAACTAATGAACCGGTTTAAAAAAAATTATATTTATAAAACCTATCACTATGTTATGTATAAAAGTATTTTATAAGCGGCTTTTGAGTGACCGTGACGTGTCGTCGAGTTACTTCAAATTACGTGAGACTCTACCCCACTTAAATATAGCATTACAATGTTGTCTTGAATCTTAACTAAACCACAAAATCGGTAAACAAATAATTCAACAGAGTTTATTTTACCTAAAATCTGCTCCGTTTACAAATATTTATTCTAAAGTGAACTAATATTTGTTGCGAGGAAAACATTTAATAGAATCAGAGTCGAAGTTTTTACACAATATCGTGTTATTTGTGCGCGAAGTCGGCGCGGCGTGTTTGCGACGGTGTCACGCTTCGGTCCCGGACTGTTTGCACGCAGACTTTTATTCATGTATTGTGATATCGATGCCGACAAAGATAACCCAGTCGTCAAAGGTATGGTAATACGCACAGATCGTGCACACTACTGTCTAAAAGTGCTAAAAAAATTACAAAGACTCTGAACTAGTTAGTTATTAAAGGTTTCCATACTTAAATTTAACTGCGTACAACTTCAGCTCACATAAACTTGGACATTTGATCTGCGTTTCAACAACTGAATAGGCAGCACACAGCTCATCCGTACTATAACTATGTGAGTCGACGAGCCTTGTGCTGGTGACTCGCAGTTTGCAGCTCGAACCGCACATCATAACTCAAGCAGGTACAAAATGAGCTGAGCAGCGAATCGGTTCACTGATCTGCTTTACACATGTGAACCGTGAACTGATCTGCAGGTCATAAATTTTAGTTGAGTTACCCATAAATAATAAACTAGCTCATAGACATTTTACGCGTTTCATCCCACACACACCGCTTTGTATTTACAAAAGCTCACTACGCATGCGAGTAAGCTTGTGGCCAGTCTATGAGTCATCAGATGATGTGCTCGCAAACATTATACCAGTAGCTCTACCGCTTTATAAATCTGACTTTATGGCCCCACAATAATAATCACTTTATTTATTTTGAGCCGGCTTTTACTTTTTGTATTAACACTCGCTATGAAGTCCCCGCGGTTTGTTTAATTCAATTAATATTTACTACTTTCTATTTATTTATCCTCATTAGTAATAGTAAATCAAAATCCGTGAAATGTTTTTGTATTTTGAATAACAATATTTGCCGCTATTCTATTATGTGGCTATTGCGTGCGTTGAATTCAAACAATTTTTGAGGTCTAGAGAAAATACGTCAAAACAAAACTGCTACTTGGTTATATACACATTAAAAATATTTGAACTTTCTCATAAAATATCTAAAAAAAAGAACAGTTATCAGCATTCAAAGTTCAGTTACAAAAGTTTGAAATAGAAATTAGAACATACGCCGCTCTCAATAGCTACCACTCTATTGTACGTTGAAAGCAAACCTAACGTTACCATATAATTAAAGGGCCACGAAACAGTAGCGTTTTGTGTGTGGCGGACACACAAACAGACGCACAAACACATACAATCTTGTACGTTTTGTGTCGAGTCGGGCGAGGGGCGAGGGGCGGCGGACGGCGGGCGGAGGGCGGCGGGCACTTCGCGCCACACTGCGACATTCTTCCATGGACCATACTATTTATTTATTGTACCTGGAGCTTTTTTGTACAGCTACTTTTTAAAAAAATACTCCCTACAAGATGCAGCAAGGTTAGCTCTGTTTGTACTGACTACGGACTGCGAGCTAGTTGCTAACATGTTTTGGGTTCCGTTAATACTTAAAAGAAGATAACTTTAATTATAAATGGTTTTAATGTTATTTTGATGCATTTATGCTTTTGCCTTGCTTATTGACGCTTCGTTATTATGTTCAATGATTGACTTTTTTCAAATAGAATAAATAACAACTATAACAATGGTTTATTATTTTGACTGTTTTTATTTTCGGTTTTACAATAAGTCCTGCGTGAATTTGTAGCTCCTCAAGCAATATATATTTGTATTGTTTCCTTTGATGAGAGAAAATATTAATGTGAGAAAATGATAATGACAATTTAAAATCATTGAATTTAAAAATATACGGAACCGATTTAAAAATCGAAACTTCATTAAGAATATTTCTTAGTACCGAACGACACTAATAAAAGGCTGTTCGGTGAGAAAACATCGCGTAGTCGTTGTTGAAACTAAATTAAAAAATGTTGCTTTGTACAGAGCGCGCTGGCAACAACAAAAAGGCGCGAATACATAATAAAAGAAATCATTATGGCTGACATCAGTCGCGAAATCGTAAACCTATTGAGTCGAACTATTGATTACTCAATAAAAATTTTAAAATAAAATTATATTGAAGTGTTACTCCACGGTGCTTGAAAAGAGTTCGTCGTGTGTTTTATGATTTGTTTATTGTAATAGTTTATTTCTTATAAAGTTTACAATATAAATATTATTGTACTCCGTAAACTACTATTGCCGGACCTGGATAAGCGAGAATTCAACGGACCGCGATATTTTAATCACTTTAAGAGATTTTTTAAGTTTTTCGTATTCACAGGTCGTTTGTCGGGAACAGACAATGACTCTTGCTCATGGAAGTTTCTCGATTATCCAGGTTCAACTGTACTGTGTTTTAAAATACTTCGGTATACCGAGTGTAGTAAATATGATAGCTAGAAAATAATAGACTACTGACAATTTATAATCTCGCTAAGATTTAAAAAATGGAATGAAATAAAAAAGAATCAAAGACACATATCGCGAGGACTTTGTAACTCGTTCACAAAGCTGTTGATATAATAAAAATAATGAAATGTATCCTGCCATAAGATGCAACATTAGAGAAACAGTGTGAACACAATAAAGTGAGATTAAACAATCAATATTCATTGGCCGGGGAGGGACGCTACCGGAAGCCAAACAGAGTGCATTGGAGATGATACATTCAACAGTCTCACAATGGTCGGGTAATAGGATCCAAATCAATAAAGATAATACTGATCTTAACGATACATTGGTAACTACCAAATACAATCCGATTCTTCTCTGACACACGGATGGTAAGTTTGAAGAACTTTTTAAATCGAACTGTACATGTATTGGAATAGTTTACAATGAAAGCCGCCTTTACCCGCGTTGCAAGGAGTTCTAGGAGTTAGGGCGTACGTTTTAAATTCCTAAATTTTAATCATAAACAGGGCTCTTAAATAATTTTTGATCCATTGTAGATATTAGACAAAATTTTTGCTTTATTTACTAATTAAACTTCTGTACTACCATTTCATGAGACTTTTAATTTATATATATGATCTAGTTATTCTCCTAACCTTGTTTGATAATTTATATTATCTCTTGTAAAATTTCCTAGATCCCCATCCAGCACGACCGTGTGTATCCCGCGTTAACGAAATACAAATATTAGTGAGCGCGCGACACAAATTAAGCCTAATGTCTAAGGCAAAGTATAGTTACGTTTGAGACTAAGTGCTTGGACAAAGCGATGTTTAGCGCAGAGTAGCCGATACGGTGGCTGTATTGTAAATCTTCCACCCATACTGTGAACACAACTAGTTAACGACGTGTTTGGACGATAATGAGATTAAATGTCGTATTTAAATTTTATTTTGCATTATTATTGACGATTAGCGGATATCAGTGACCGGAATTGCCTACCGGAAATCCTGTAAGATCGAAAATTCCGCACAATGTTTACACAAACTTTTACAGAATAGTAGACAAACATTAAAGTCACACTAACGCATATTAAATAACCCCACATATTTAATTAAAGTGGCATTTAAGTCACAAACAATCACGTAAAAATCATTACATCACAGTCTGAACAACAAAAAATTAACTTTTGGTTATGTGTTTGCACACGTTTTTATTGATTTAATAAGGAAAATATAGTACAATCTGAAACGCTTATTGCTAAGCGTTTGACTTCGACTATCATTGCGAGTATTTTAAGTATACGAATAATAGTAAGTTGAAGGCGATGTATATCACATCATTTGAAGGTTGTATCAGGTAGAAGGCCTCGTGAAATGTGTCGCTGTGGTGCAACTTTTGTATGCGACGTGCGAAGAGGGTGTATCGCAAGGCTCACTATTAGGTCCAATGTTATAGTTTTTATTTGATTCTTTTATTTTTTTAAAGGCCGTCGGATATCAGTGAGGGATACTGTTTGTATTATTTTATGATGACTAAACGTTTTTTTATCACTACTTTTTTAACTTGTAAGTAACAGACGAAATGGACTTTGATTTCTCCATGAAAGTATTAAAACGATTGCACGTCGAACTTAAAAGAACTTTGTTAAATACACTGACATTTTGATTGATTGGAATATTAATAAAAAAAGTCTACAGACCTGCACACGACTCTCCGTCAGTCCGATGCGCATGGCGATCTCCTCTCTCATGAAGATGTCGGGGTAGTGGGTCTTGGAGAAGCAGCGCTCCAGCTCGTTCAGTTGCGCCGGTGTAAACCTACGCCGCAACAGATGATCTAAATTAGTGTTTTTCTTTAAAATAAAATTCTATTAAAATCTGTTTTGTCTTTAAACACTATCAAAATATAAAACAAAACCACAAAACCATCAAAAAAATAACAAGAAAAAAACTTGACGTAGTTCCGATAGGAATTGTTCGAGTATAAAGGCCGAGTACCTCGTCCGATGCCTCTTCTGCTTGGTGGGCTTGTCGCTGTCGGAGGCGGCGGACGGCATGCTGACCGGCACCGTCGCCATGTGCCCCCCGTGCGCCCCGTGACCCCCGTGTGCACCGTGGCCCCCGTGAGCCCCGGCCGGCTGTTGCGACTGCTGCTGAAGCAGCCCGCCTGAACACACACAAAAATATGTTCACAATAAAAGTTGATGCATTACTCGCCTACTTATAGAACTACGTATCATAAGGATTACCTCGTTTTACATAAAATTAAGAGCACAGCAGTGTACGTTCCATATGTCCAGATTAGAAAAAGACCTACGTTACGTCTGGAAGTGTTTGTGTAACAGGTATAGATGTCTGTGGTGTGCTCGTATGACTTGTACATCTAGATGTGACAATATTAGCAGATGTAGGATGTACCTTGCAGGTGTTCGTTGCGTATGTGTGCGAGATGCAGGCGTGCGCCCAGCGCATGGTGCGCGCGCTCGCCCTTGCCCTCCAGCTGCTTGTCCTCGCCGCACGCCTCCTTGTGACCTGCAAACACCTGGACTGTAGTTACGTCTCACACACTCCTAGACAACACACACCTCGGCAATTAATTAATTTATCTTAATTGTTTCTTATCTCATTTTCTTCTTACTAAGTCTGTACTTTTCTTTGCATTTGGTGATCAGTATTGTTTGTTATCTATAATTTGGAGTATTTAAGAGAGATCGACATAAGATTTTGTGTGAACTATCGGTTGCTAGCGACTTCTGCGTAGAATGAAAATCGCCTAAGTTACTCTCCAATACATCAGCTCGGCCGCTACGGAGATTCCATAGTGTATTCTCCACAGTGATATTTTTTGATATTACTTTATTTATTTAACTTATAGATAGATTCATTAATTTAATTTTAATAACTGGAATTGTGGTGACGTTGAATTAATTTATGTATCGATAAATAGATTCAATTCATGAAAATAAAACGGAATATACCATTGTGAGCAGAGACATTGATGCTGCGGTAAGGAAGCACTCGCACTGAACTGGCGCTAATTTTACAAAATTACGATCTTGGGGAACTTTAGTGAACATTTTATGCTAAAATGCTCGTTCGAGTATTTTCAGTTTGATAATTTTGAAGCTTGACCCAACGATAAATAAGGGTCAAATGTTTTTGAACTTAGCGAAAAGATTGTTTTAAATATTGAGGTTTGAAAACAAGAAGATTTCTACTTAGATCTGCTACTTCAAATTCATTTCCTAAAATATCATTTAACTTTTGCATTTGTTGCTATTTCTTGTGCTATTAACAATTTTAAGATTTGCTAGATTTATGAAGCTTTTCAAAGTAAACTGTTTAGTTTTAACATAAAAGGTTTTTTGCTACAATACCAAGAAACTATAATGTACGAGAGAATCCATGCGTCATGTGCGTCATCGTCAAGCACTGACTCACACGACGAATTACTTTAAACATTTCATTAAACGCACATAACTCCTACAATAGTAAGTTTCCACTGTTGTTACATTTGTACAAGAACATGTTAATATATAATATATCTGTTTTTTGAAGAGAATGACAGAGACATAATATTCGTTTTGTTTGTGCAAACGACAGCAATGTTATAGTTCTTTCAACTCAACATTTAATATAACTAACTCTATATTAAATAATTTATAAATAAACTAGCTGTTGCCGGCGACTCCGTCCGTGCGGAAGTAAAATAAAATATTACTAGCCTATGTGTTTTTTCAGGCTATTTTCTACATTTTTATTCTTTTCAGCGAAATTAGCCGTTCTGTTGATACCTTGTAACAAACATTCATCCATCAAAACATTCGCATTTGTAATATTAGTAAGAAATTGTACTGAAAATTTTTGAACTATGTTATTGTATTTAATCCAAAATTCTATAGTTGTTAATTATAGTAGATAGTAAATTATACATAGTATTCAATTATATTTAGCCAAGTCGCTGTGTTCAGTAGGTAAAGTGGTCGCAAAACTTGTGAAACTGCAAAAGTTAGATCCCACAGCCGGCGGAGATATCCTTTACTGCAGTTTGACTTCATCACAATTCCAAACGACGGTACAAATTGAAATGAATGTAAATACTTTGTTAAATAGAAACAAGAAAGTTTGAGCGCAAGCTCAGTGTAAGAGTAAATAGACATTTTTTATTTAAATTTGTCTCGCGTTTAGCACACACACACACACACACACACATATCGCGCTTCTTTATCAAACACACAAACATATTTTTTAATACTCAAAAACAAATGACTCGAGATGTATGGACAATACATTTTAGACGCTGGCCGTAAATAGTATTTGAGGGTTCTTCATTTAAAAATTTGACCGAGGCAACTCATTTTAAAAAGATATTTTAACTTTTCTATTATAACTACATAGTAAGATCGTTTTTGCCAAGTCAAATAATCTTACTATTATTAAAATGTGAATGTTTGGATGGAAATATGGATGTTTGTTACACTCCAGAACGGCTGCATGGATCTCGATCTAATTTGGTATATATGTAAAGCATATTCTGGAAGAAGACATAGGCTGCTAATTTTTTTTTCTTTTTATTTCTGCGCTTACGGAGTCGCGGACAAAAGCTAGTCCTCAATAATTATTTTATTGACAGGTTAATGTTGTTAATTAAGTATAATATTTTTGTTTCTGCTTCCTTAAAATATTCATGTTATTATCCAGTGAGATCGCAAGAACAAGCAAGCCGTTCTCACCCCAACGGCGGAGCGGCTCAACGGCTCAGCGGGATTACGACGGATCATAAACTGACTTTAATGGAATCGAATCCCGTAAAATAAAACCTGTGTCATCAACTTTCACTGCTCCAAGGGTTAAAGTTATTTGTCTCGCAGGAAAATAACTTTGTCTATACGAAACGTTGCTTATGTGAGTGAACTAACTACGTTTAATAAATATTTGACAATGATTTTATTCAAATTTATCACTGTATTGTTTGAAATTAACCACTTTGAAATTTAATTAATGTTTTTTTTATAATTTAAAATTGAACCTAAAGAAAAAAATAATTACATTGAGATTCAAATAGACATTAACTAAATTGATTTTATGAAATTAAAATACATATTTATTTCATATTACATTAATTCCTTATCTGCGCTTTATTAATAAGGTACCTACTAGCTTTTGCCCGCGACTAACACAGAATAAAAAAAACTTAATAAATAGACTATGTTCTATCTATTGCCTTTTAGTGAGATTCGTTTAGCTTTTCTGGAGGTATTTAATAACACATACCCACGTCTAAACTTTCTGATTTATAATATTAGTAAAGTAAGTGATATCAATAAAATAATAAATAATTAATGATTTGTCTAATAAAACTGATTTTTGGACTCACCTCCTAAGGCAGTGGCGGTGAGGTTGTTGAGCATGGCCTCAAAGGGCCACCCCCGGCCGCCCCCTATAGCGACATCTTTGTCCACACGAGCGCACAAATCATTTGCTGTACTCTGCACTTGTTCTCTTCTTTAATTACAAAACAACACTCGCGCACCAGTCTCCGCTCGCTACAGCCCCCTCGTCGTTCCCACAGAAAAAAACTTTACAAATCTCAAACACTATTTGGGAAAAAAAATCACGCATGAAAAAGGGCAAATTCGCAAGAAAAAGGCGGCGCGATACAAAACAATTAACGCTATATTACACCCAATTAGTTTTAATTACGACTCCGTTCAAACTTATTTACATACTTAATTTTTGTTATAAAATTAATATAACCCGTTTAGTATTAATTTGTATAAATTTGCAGTTTGATTGGTTCGCCCTTAGAATGGATCGTTTATTGTGCGAACGCCCGGCGGCCGACTGAGCGCCGGGAGCGCGCCGCGCCGCCGCGCCATCTGCACCGCCGCAGCGGAAACAACAAAACTACAACTATCTTTTTTCAACATCCACAAAAAGCTCGTACAGAATTCGTCGCTCGCGTCCGCCGTCGCCGCTGCAAGACTACACTTTGTTTACCGAACATTGGAACAAACGAATAATCTATTATTTCATTCGTTCGCCTATTATTGATACGGTGCTCGCCTTCATGCAATATTCAGTATCCGACACAACTATACCTCTCTCTCTCACTCTTGATGATTTCGCGCTTCATCGAGTATTCCCATTTCTGTCTCGCGCGAGTTTTGAATATCGAACGTTTCGCGTCTACCAATGGGAGGGCGTATAATTCACTTGAAGCCTTCCGGAGCGGGATCGTGATATTGAAATTTTATATGTATGTTGTTGGGCGGTCCGTCCGTTTGTGTTAAAAAAGAACACAAGAACAAGGCCGGTGCCGGCGCCCGGCGCCCGGCGGCTACACCGCTCAAAGTAAATAGGAGCGCTCGACTCGAGATCGGCCGCTCCAAATATTTTCAGTTGCGTTTCATTTTGAGTGCGATTTCTTGTAAAGAATCGTTTAATTTTCGGACGCTGTTGAATAAGGAATGCCCGGGGGGTAGGGGGGCAGGGAGGGGACGTATCGGGAATGATGTCTTTCTTTTCTGTTCTCCCTTTTATAAAATTCTATTCGAAAACTGTAGGAAAATAGAAATGGCCGTAAATAATTACGGAAATATTTACTCAATTGTTTAAAAACGTGACCAAAATATTATAGATTTTATTACATTTCCTATTAAAATATACACACCTGCTTTTTTAAATCTTTATTGAATACGAGCCACCTAGAACCTAGAACTTAGAAACACAGAACACTTAATAAAATAGACTTTGAGCGTTTTAGCTGACTAGAATGATTAATAGTTGAATCATATATTCAGAAAGTCTATTTTCAAGTGACCTAGTTAGATACTTTTGTCAGCCTACTTTCTAGGTAGATACAGTTAGTTAATTAAGTTTGATAAGTTTAAAGTTCGAAAATATAAAATAAGACTCGTCATAGATTCATTACTGTTGAAATTTATCTTATGTTTTGTGTATTTTTTGTAAATAAAATTAAAAGGAATACAGAAACATGTCTTTATACAAGTGGAAACACACAGCTAGTTACACCCTGGCTACGTAGATATCACAAGGAAGGAAGCTAGTAGGTAAGTACACAACTACAAAGCAAAATGAAATTCAATTTAGTCCTATCCACGCGACAAAAACATCCGCTGCAGCAATTAACTGCCTCTTCAGAGCCTCTACCCTGCCCCGTCCCTACCCCCGTCCCCCAACAGCCTTCTCCCCCTCCCCTGGCCCGGCGCCATCGCTCAGGAATTTAATTTTGACATCCAGCCTGCAATTCAGACGGAATCTTGTCAGCGCCCTCCGTAATATCTATACAATAATAGAATAAGTTATATTCTTATTATGTTATACTTATACTTACAGTTTTTGTATAAAAACATTCCCTCCGGAATTAGCTTGGCAATAAATAAAAAGCTTTATTTGGCAATAATCTTACTTTAATTAACTTAATTAAATTAAATTAATTATAAATACGAATGTTTGCATGAATGGATTGCTAGAAAGTATCACCAGAACGGTTGCATCTATCTCGCTGAAATTTGACATATATGTAAAACGTAACCTGGAAGGCTACTAATTATTTTTTTAATTCAGAGCGAACAGCGTCGCGGTGTTCAATACAAAATAAATATATTTTTAACATCTAGAAATACAAACTTGTTAAAGTGTTTCGAAATTTTAGCATATACTTTGAAATTATAGTCGGAATCATCAAAGAATCAACCCACTAATAACAGACGTCTAAAGGTTTAAAAAACAACGTTGAAATACATCGCAATTCAAAGAAATAATAAAACTTAGATCATGAATGGAGAAATAATTAGTTAACCATCAGAGAGATAACTGCTTTAGTTAAAGTAATCGCTTTAGTTAATGACTGAAGTCGGTTTCACTTACAGCGGCGGCGGAGTGCTGCAGATTAGCGCTAATGTCTCATTACTTACTCTACATTACCTGTGGTCTCTGTCTGCGGGAGACAGAGACCACGCTATACAGCTGACAGGGATACAGGTATTTCTCTATATCAAATTAAAAAAATCAATTTAAAAAACCAAAAGTAGTTGGTAGAAGATTTTAGTTTAGGTTTCTGCGACCGAAACAAAACAATAACGCATTTTTAACCATTTGTTCAAAGCCAACGCTTTGTCAGAGACTAACTAAGTTAGAGATGACTGGGCCAGGGTCAATCATGTTGTCTCAGTGCGAACTGATTTCACACATATCTTTGAACTTCCACGCAGATATGTGTAGGATCACGATGTTTTCCTTCATCTTAAGAATGTTTGATAAATTTACGTACGAAATTCGAAAATCATATTGGTACATGGCGGAAATTGAACCTGGACGTGTAGATTGTGTAGGCCGCAAAGTCCTAGGGCCGCAAAGTCCTAGAGTGGCGGCCACGGACAGGTCGACGCAGCGTGGGCAGGCCTCCCGCAAGATGGACCGATGACCTGGTCAAGGTTGCGGGAGCGTCCTGGATGCGGGTGGCACAAGATCGGTCATCGTGGCGATCTTCAGGGGAGGCCTATGCCCAGCAGTGGGCGTCTCATGGCTGAGTAGATAGATAGATAGACGTGTAGATTCCATTTCGGTCCGGTCAAGAACTTAACAACTACGCCACTAACGCTCTAAAGAGAACAATAGGGATGATAAAGTCTTTAAGAAGTGGAATCCTACGATTACATATTATTTACGACAATATCTATTGCTTTTTCTAAGGAGATTTAATTAATGCATCTCAAAAAGCAGTCACAATAATTAGGAATATGAATCATTTTGCAAGAAAACTTTTTTCAATCTCACAAACCCTTAAGAATATATAGTGAGATCAGTATCACATTAAAGTTTCATTTATCTTAAGCCAAATAATGACGCGATAAACTTACAATAGTATCCCATTAGCCCGCGCCCGCACAGTGCCGCGGACAAGTGATGATTTTTAATAAAAAAAAACACACCCCCGCTTTGATATTGACTGTACCTCGGGGTATCTTCATCGCTCGATAACAAAACGACGTAAATACCAAAACTGCTCACCCGAAACTGAACTCTATAATACAAGCAAATAGAACACAAACATCGAAAACTATTGTTCAAATTATATGATGTAATTAAAATATACGAATCTTTAAAAAAATACTAACAAGATGTATTTTTGAATGTATGTATAATAAGATGTAAGACGCAGAGATGTGTGCGTGTGTGTGTGTGTGTGTGTGCAGTAACACTGGAGATGTAAAACCGCGCTCAGTTTATTATAAGTTAATACGCGCGCCCTCCTAAACTCTACAGATACCTAGTACACTCACGGACAAAAAAAATGCACATACACATAAGATCGCGTTCCAATAATATTACAAGTGGGTGGGAAGAGGAAGAGGACTAGAATTTGTCCTACAGTAGAAAGAAACTCACCTAGCTGTACGCAAAATGTGTCTGAAAACATTCCTACTATTACTCTGAATCTGAAATAATAATCAACGCAGTCAAGCGAATAATAAATGCTTAAAACAAATACCTTCAATACAATATTGTCTTTTTTACATCATGAATAAAGACGTTTATAATAAAAGTATAATGTTTTTCTCATCCCCTTTATCTTGCAATTGAGTGTAATGGTTGCACCCTAATTTAAGCGCGCTATTGTAACAAACTTACACGGTTTTTAACTTTGGCGGCCGACCGTTACACTGCACCTTCACCCCTGACTTTGTTTACTATCTATTAATATTTTATTATATGCAGATCATTTTATTTGACTTGCAGCCATCAAGAAAAAAAGAACTATCGCAATGATGGTGTCGTATCTCCAAATATCGATGACGTTAGGCATCTCTATATCGATATTTGATCTAGAATTCAATGGACATCCCTAGTGCGGGTCTCGGGTGTAAGAGCTAAGCGCTGTATTGTTTCCCGCGGGGGTGGGTGCGGGGTGCGGGTGCGGGTGCGGGGGCTAATGTATTGTTATTTGTTGCACAATATCTGCCGCATCTCTGTCAGCTACCACACATATACATCATAGTATGTCATTAAATAACTTGTATTGAAATATGTATTATTTACATCAAGGTGAAAAAATATATTTTCAGTTCTGACCCAAAATGTTAATAAAATTGGGACTTGTTGACGATCTTTGACCACAATCCCTATCTGATCTTTCTACTTTATTGGTCATAAAATTAACAAAACCTAAAACTAAACGAGGCCTTCGTTTAAAAAAGACACTCTGTAGATTTTTTTTATTGTATCGAATTTGATTGCGCCATTATTTTTGAAAAGTAATTAAAATAAAAAATCTAAGCTAAAAATTAGCTGGCTGTATAAGACCGGAACGTTTGCCTTAAAAAAATAAGCCGACAAAATATGTGGTCGCAAATTTTTGCCGGCATTTACGTAGCAAAGCCCGGGCATAAATCATAGAGTAATGCCTCGAGGATTGCGGGCCGCGGAAACCGGCCGTTTGTATGCGATGTCGGCGCGCGGCTTAGCGGGCCGGGACTAGTCGCCCCTGACTCCCCGCTAGCGAGCCTTCCTGCTGTAATCGTCGTGTAAACCCAGCGTTATGTTTATATCGCAATAACTCGCTTAAGAAGAAAATTTATTGGAAACAAATCGACGATATTGTTCTTAAAGTTCATAGAACTCCCACCTTTGCCTAGACATAAACTAACATTGTTTCCATAACATTCCCTAGTAATAGATGTAATATGACATTCAATTATCTACCTACCCCCGAAGCCCCTGCACACCTCACCTGACACATCACAAAGTCTCTGCCCGGTGCCCGGTGCCCGGCTGGGAGGGCAGCACCAATCAAACTTGACGGCA